CGAGTAGTGGCTCTGTCACTTCAGCCACTACAAATGTCCATGTGTAACTGCGTCTGAGTGTGGGGAGGACAATGTCGAGAGTGGCCTCGCCATGCACGCGCAGTGGCTGCCCGCTGGCAGTCGTGATCGAAACAGCGGATGGGTGAATTAGAGTTCCATTCACATAGGAGGGTGGAACCAGGGATACACCAGCGCCAGTATCCACGATGAATTTCAGGGGCTGATCATTCACCTTGGCTGTGACCCTAAGGAGCGGCAGGCCGAGGGCTGCGTTTACGGCCTGCTCCTCTCGTTTCCCGACTCTGAGGCTGCACGGGAGGGAGATGCAGCTCGTGAGGACGGCTGCATGGTCAGATCAGCAACTTTGTCGGGCCAGTGACACCATGGCTTGCAAGTGCGTGCTCTGCTGCCGAAAAACAGGTGAGCACGGCATACTTTCGGCTTCTGGTCAGGGTGGAACGGCGTGAGACCGAGAGACGCTCTTGAATCACGAGCATCACGAGCAGGGGAGTGTGTGGCGGCTCGGCTCTGCGGCTGAGTGGCCCTGTGGTACCTTGGGTGCTGCTGAGCCACAAGGAACGCCTGTGAGTCAGACTGTGGGTCCTGATCCTGACAGTGAACCATGTTAGCAGCTGAGTTTTGCACAAGAGGCATCAGTTCATCCGCGAGTTTGCCCAACTGCGACAGTGAGAGCTCGCGCTGAGAAGCCAGGGCCGTAGCAATGCCTGCGGGTAGCGACTGGATAAATTTGTGCCGAACGAGATCGTCTCCGACACCAACCTTGTCGGCCACCTCTCTGAGTTCGCTTAGAAAGAGTGAGGGTCGGCCCGTCAGACGCGTTTTGCTGATCAGTTTCTCAAACATCTCTGGCTTTGTCTTTTCGTACATGCCAGTGACGGCTGTCTGTAGCTCAGAGAAATTTTTGTTGCTCAAGACAGCACGCGGAACGTGCGAGATGGTTTCCGGAGGCAGGACAGAGAGAACGTGGTAGAATTTGGTCTGCGAGTTGGTGATTTTGGCAATGTTAAATTGGGCGTCCATAATAGCAAACCAGCCGTCAACTGCGGTGTCCATAAAACCGGCGGCTTGATCGACACATGATGGACCGGCTCAGCATGAGCGGGTTCCATCGTGCCCTCGTTCGTCATGATCGTTAAAGTATAGCCGGTGTTTGCAATGCACTGAACAATTAAAGATTAAAACACCGGGTGCAAAATCCGAAAGAGCCAATGGAACGCCGAAATAAAATCACCGAGAAGATAAATGCCTAACTAATCACACGGCGGAGAGATGGCACAGAAACCATCATGGAAAAGTGGCGCAGAAGCCACTGTGGAGCGACGGAATAGCAATCATGTGGGGGAATAATATAAAATAATTGATTCGGGAATGAGCGGAGGCGACAACCCGGAAGTATGGAAAAATCGAACAGGAATCACGTCGGGCTCACCAATATGTGGTGCTGTGGGGCTGTTCACCACATATCAGTGACTGGATTTTACGTTAATCAGAAATGGAAAATATCAACCTGGTGCGTGTTCCAAAAATTCAATCAGTTCGATCCAAACGGCCCCAAGTAAAAGAATTAATTTAAGAGCGGGTTGTTATATTTAAATTACCAAAACGAAGTCAAAAAACCAAAACAGCGAATCAGACAATGGAGCGACGAAGAGACGAGAATGAAATCCAAGTTTGCCAAATATGCCCTGCCTAATCTAAGTTATAAATCCCGGACAGAACGGGCCAAATCGCGGAGCCAGACGTGACGCGTCTGCTCGGGCCAAGAGCTCGGCCAGAAGTCCCTGGGAGCGCGCGGCCCGACGCAGCGGGCCGGGCCCAGACATGCGCAGAAGCACTCGGACACCACGTGGCTGCGGATCGGAGCGCGGATTGGTCACTGGCCGACGCACTGCGGCAGCGCAGGCCGCAGGCACGCGGTCGCATCGTGATGGGACAAAGTTCACGAACAGACACGTCCTGGGCCGCCCCCCAGCGCCGGGGCGGGGTAGCGACGTCACAAGTCGGCGCGCGAATCGGTCTGCGCCGGGAACTCCCGTGCCGGCCGGCGACACACGTGGTTACCACAGTACTCAATGAGGGCCGGGCCCAGACATGCGCAGAAGCACTCGGACACCACGTGGCTGCGGATCGGAGCGCGGATTGGTCACTGGCCGACGCACTGCGGCAGCGCAGGCCGCAGGCACGCGGTCGCATCGTGATGGGACAAAGTTCACGAACAGACACGTCCTGGGCCGTCCCCCAGCGCCGGGGCGGGGTAGCGACGTCACAAGTCGGCGCGCGAATCGGTCTGCGCCGGGAACTCCCGTGCCGGCCGGCGACACACGTGGTTACCACATACTCACTCACGCTCTACCACCCTCTGCCGCCTACGCCCTACGCTACGGTCGCCGGCCGGCCTGCTCAGTGCCCAGTCTCACACTCGGCCATCGCGGCTCGCCTCTTGAAGTTTGGAGATATTATGAAACGGCAAAAGGTCCTTATTTGACGACCATCAATATTGAACCTTGAAATCACACATTATGATTTTGATTACGTCATGTTATTATAATTGTTTCAACACTTAACTTTTAAAGTGAAAAATGTTAAAGCTATTGTCAAATGAATTTAGATGAATTTGCATGATTTGTTAAAAAAAGATAAATATTTATGTTCAGGTAAATCTCTATGGCCTGGGTTCATTTTACACATGACGTCATTTCTAAAATGAAAGTTTTTGAGCTCACAAATAGGTAAACCTTGTCAATTACTTGTGGGTTGGCTCGTGGTCTCGGAGGTATAAAATAATCCAAGTATAATGCTATTTCGAGCTACGGCGAGGCACATCAATTTCGTTATCAATCACAAGACAGCGTTTCATTCGCAATATTTGACGTGCAAAGCTACTGTAGGAAGGTGGGTGAGATTTGTACTGTCGGAGGCATTAATGGCGGTCGTGTTTCATTTGGTGTGCATGCCTTTCCACGTGTAAAGATCATACTTAAAACGAAGCATGGTGAAAATTAAGATTTTACCCACAGTGTATATAAATACAGTGGCGGCAAATGCGCTTGGTCACGTGACCAAATCTGCACGTGCGGTTGTGGCGAGGGCACTTCCCGAAACTCTGGTGCCAACGGCCTCGCGGCGCCCATAGAGAATACATGGGACCTTTTCTTTTCAGACCTATCGTGTCTAAACCAAGCCATTTAGTGCAAGGATACGACTGGTTTGAGATTCAGTAGTCTTTTGGCTATAAATCGGCATAAGAAACGTATTTTTATCGGCAAAATTCGCAAAGTACCAGGTGGTTTTCCGATACCCTGCACGCCTCCTAACCCCCGGCGGCCGACCGGAGGAGTCGGTAGCGCTCCACTCAAGACTTTTGGCGATAGCTCAGAACACCTTACAGCTAGAGGGCTGCTATTTGGCACACCTTATCCTTGCTTCCATATGCATCTTTGGAAACCAATTGCATTTCCGCCTCAGGTCAGATCACTGACTTATGACGTCACACGTGAACCTCTGCAATAGTCCCAAAATACCGAAACTTCGCAATGCCCTCGGTGCCAGAGGAGCTGTCACAGCGAGATGATATATACAGGACCTAGTATCCTCTAGAAGTCTCAAAACTTGTATATCTCGGATTTCTCCTAGAGGTCACATGAGGTCAGGCCGATCGCGTGACGTCACCATTACAAGTCAATGGGGAAAATATAGAAACTGTAATTTTGACGCCGAGAATGATCTAAACCTAGCTCAAGCACATGGAATCGCAATTTCATGCAATTCTTGCAATGTCTAATGCTTCACTTTCGCATCTTTATCCTAGCGTGACGTCATTTATGACGTCACAAAGGTCACAAGTTTTTTCGTCAATAACTCCTGATAAAATTGAATTGGCAAGTCGGAAAAGTCGCCAATATACTCGGGAAGACTTACCGAATCGAATGATATAAGATATTAACCTCCTCCGACCAACTTCGTGACCTGAGTGCCTCTGACCTGGCTTTGACCCGATGTGAACACCTTATGTTGACCCCACCCAAACAAAAGTGTACCATTTTGACGCACCGGAGCATGACAAACATGATGGTACTAAAATCGCGACTCTGCGCCGTTTTTGGCAAAGTTATTTCTCAAAACCCGAAATCGTATTTTGGCCCTCGGGGCACTTGACCTGACCCTCAGAGGCCACCAGTTGACCTGAGACTTTTGAACCGTGCATCAATCGCTGCGTCCCCGGTCCCGTAACGGCACACATGCTTGTTTTTCCCGCGAGGCTAGCTCAATTAGGGCGAGGGAGTCGTACCCGCTCGCTCTCGCGGCCGGGGCGTAGTAAAAAAACTAAGAAGTCTGGTGATGATTGATGCAAGATTCTTACAGATAATAGTAGATGAAGGTAGGGCATAAGTTATTAAAGATAAATGAAACAAATTTGCGCCCTCAGTAGCCTTGATTTACCATATGCGGCGGAACGGGGAGGGCACCGGGGCACCGTGTCCCCTTTAATTTTGACATTTTAACATTAGCCCTATGGGCGTTGCATGGAAAGAATCGGACCGAAAGTCGGCAGTGCCCCCCCCCCCTAATTGAAGGTGTTCCGCCGCTACTGTATAGAACAACTGTAAGCTGCAGGCTCAGCTCTTCAGTTTCTACCTATGCCTGCAAGCACAATAAAATCAATGGAAGAGTAATAATAGATTAATTGTATTTTATTGATGATATTCAAGTTTCAGTGGTAACTATGTCACCGATGATTCAATATTATTTGCACGGTATCATTTACCACCACACGGCTAAATATTTAGTATCCAAAATAATGCAGTAAAATAAGCTGCGCCACGTCTGTCGACAAAATCTGGTGCCAACTCAAGGTCAAACGGAAAATGTGGTCACGTGACCAATGTCCGGCAGCTGATTTTACCTATCAGAAGAGCAATTTTTGCAGTCTGAATATTATCCTCCACGCTGTATTGTGGGGGAACAGTGACAAAAAGGCTGAAACAAATGACTTTTGACTACACAATTGAATAATACAGGACCTAGTGATAAAGCAGGCGTCACACTTCTTTATTTTTGCAACCAAGGAGAGGCGCAATACCCAGAGGCCAGAGAACCAATGTGCAGCCTGCATCGGTATTGCAAGATGTAGCAACATATAATAGCAATGTAAAATACCTGACTAGGAAAGTAGAAACTTAGAAAGCAATGTGCCGTGCACATTTAGTGATGTGAGAGTAATGATGTGTTAGGTATCCTTTTTCATTCATCATCATTCTAGCATGCAACTTACTAATCAACAGCCTTTTGTCACAATTCTGCAGCATTGGACTTTTCGGTTTTGTTAGAGCTCTGCTTATTTGTACACATCCTGTTTGCATTTCCTGCAAATTATTTCACATGGAGCATCTGTAAACCAATATAGGCAAACAGTGTGGGCTCAATGGTTAAATTTATCAGATCCTACAGTGTATTGATGCACATTTGAATAAAGTATGTGATGAAGAAGTGGACTTTCCTCTTAAAAAGATCCATTTGGAGTAGTTGCACACTCACTGTGCACTCGGATGTTAACTATTCCCTTTCAGTCTTTCAGTCAGCCTGTAGCCTGAGGAAACCCAAATGGTCAAGGAATTGATGAACATGAATTATTGCATTGATATTTAGCTGCATAATTTCATGTTCATCAGGACAGAGGAAGAAACAGCAGATTCACACCAGTAATGTACATCACTATTTGGGATCTGTTGAATCAATGGACGTATGGATTCTATCTTTTAATTTGAATCTTGCTGATGCTAATGCTGTTTGCTAGTACACAAAATGAGGTGTTGAAACAGAAGAGTGGCTACAAGCCAGATACCTACAGAATCTCATCAGCAATGCCCAGCACATGACTTTCATCCCTGCTCTGGTCAGTGGTCAACTGCAGTTACAGATCAAGGAATGGTGGTGGAGCATATCCAGCCTGTTACTATGAACCTACCTAGCTCTTGCAAGAGCCTTCTTCTAAATGCTTTCAAATACAATCCACCATTTACCATGAAGCTACTATTACAACCCACAACAAATTGAGGAATGCCCATGCTTTTGATAAACATGGCTCACTGGTTATCCATCTGAAGGATGATTGTTCATTAAGTTTTGTTGGGTTTCAGATATCCAAGATGTCAAGACGCGCTAGTGGCTTTGTCATATTTCGTAAAATCAAAGACCAAGTAGAATATCTGTTGCTCCAAGCCTCCAATGGGGCTCGTCACTGGACACCTCCCAAAGGACACGTGGATCCGGGGGAGGATGACCTGACGACTGCTCTGCGGGAGACGCAAGAGGAAGCCGGGTTCACACCATCGCAGCTGAAAGTTGTTGATGGGTTTGTGAAAGAAATATCGTACATAGCATGGGGCAACAACAAAGTATCAGCGTACTATTTGGCGGAGCTAATTGAGAAAGATGCGGCTGTGACCCTATCCCATGAACACACTGACTGGAGGTGGGCACCAATAGAAGACGCGTGCAGGCTAGCAAGCTATCCAGAGATGCAAGACGTCCTTCAGCAAGCCCACAGTTTCCTGCGTGAACAAAAATCCGCTCCATAGGTTACGAGGGCCCTGGGCCCTATAATAGCTTACATTTCATGCCTATTGGAAAAATCGAACATTTTGAATGTGAAGGACTGGACCAATGATAGAGCTTGCGGTCATGCTGTAACTTATTTACTGTATGACGACTGTGTTGTACCTATGTCCCATGAAAGTGAGGGGTAGTTGTGATTTATTTGCTGATCACTTACATTATTGTTACGATTGCCCTCCAGTTGAGAACGAATAAATGTCTCCGAAACAACTTATATTCACAAATATATGCGAGCGTTGGGATCACTCACCACAGAGGCTGGAGCACACCGACTGACCCGAGCCTTTGTTTGTTTGTTTTGCTGGGTTAGGCTCTTCGGTCAAGTTTAACCATTGCAGAGCCGGGAGGATGATAGGAATTAGGGAGAGACTTTGGTCTGAACGGGCACCCTAGTTAGTTACCGGGGCTGAGCCCGTCCAAATGGATAGGCGTTCCGACCCCCTAGCACTCACTGCACTGCACCCGGCTACAGGACGTGTGCTCCAATGGGAGCTGCCCGCATGGGATAAAGTTGCCCGTCCAGCCCGGAACAGGGATTTTAGGCGTGAAAGAGAAGGATTTGACTGTCCCGAGAATGGAAATGACGGAACGGTGACCCGAGCCGGGGTCGACTGCCTTATATATCCGGTCCGCTAACCGGTCACCGCGCATGCGCAGCCTGCCCTGAGGCGAGGTTCTGTGGATCGCAGTGGACCCCAGCGAGCCGCGCGATGTCACCAACAGCCGATCGTACAGCCGAACGGATATCAAACACGTGCAACTTAACATGCGTTACAATGCTCCCTCGAAAGAAAAGGCTTTCGTGCCGAAAGATACACACGCATGCGCACACACATGCAAATAAATGTTTTACACAATAGTTGTTAACCCTATTAGTGGCAGGCTCCTGGCTACCCCCTATTAGTGGCAGGGGGGGGGGGGCTGTTTACGACCCCCCTTGATATCTCGAGATCTAACGGGCCGATTTTCAAAATTCAAACGGCATTCGATTTCGCTCAACGAGATCTACATTTCTAAAAAAAAATAAAATTAAAAAATGTCAATAGGGGGGTAGAGGGGGTAAAACGGGCAAATTGCAGATACATTTTAGACTGTTTATCACGGCCAGGTTTCTGAACCAATCTTAACGCAACTTTTGCCGATCGATAGAGAATGAACCAGGAATTTACATGGATCCTAAAAATACGCATTTTCAAAAATCATAGGCGGATACAGATCATTGAGATTGGGGGTACACAAAAAGTATAGTAAATAAGGTTTTTGTTGGCACTGTTTCTAAGAAGGGTGGCAATGGTCTTGTTATGTTACAATTTCTTATGAGAGAACGACTAAAATTGTATTGGTCATGCATAGGCGGAGTCAGGGCACCTATGTTGGGAGGTAAAAAATAACCCCCCTTTTTGGACGCCTGGATCCGCCTATTATAGCAAAAACGTGTCAAAAGAGGATGCACAATAACTTTGTATATGTTATCACATGATACCTTTCATTCACTGTTCGTAAAACTGGTGCAGCATCGTGATCTTCGCCCAAATGACTCGCTTCACGAATAGGACCCCCCAATTCCCAGTGCTCTGGAGCCGCCCCTGGTAAAGTTATGAACTTGAAATTTTCAGGGAATGTGCCCAATTTAGTTTTAGGAAAAGTCAGAAAATTTCAGCATCGTAGCTTCAGCGGTTTCGGAGATATTCCCGAAAAACCTGAGGGGTGGATAAAAACACCCCCCCCTGCCACTAATAGGGTTAATCGCGAAAGTCAACAAACAAAACGTAAATAACTCAACCCGCTACGTTCCCACCCCGGGATTAGGCATCGCTGCTCAGGACACTCAGCCACCGGGGGAAATAGGTGGCGTCCGCCACCTTAGCGTAACCCGCACGGGAAAGGTGGATGCCGTCCGCCGCGAACCACTCGTGGCACTTGTCGACGACCACATGTTGCCGGTGGAACTTCTTCGTCAGGGCCTTGCCTAGCGAGTGGAAGTCCACTTCAGCCGCCACCCCTTTAACCTTCCGTTCCAGTTTGTTGGCGGCAGTTTTCTCCCAGCGGAGCAATCGGTCCACTTGAAAACGTGGCAGCGGTCCCAGGATGAGTGGCCGCCCCTGGTCTTGCACAGCGGTATTGATCACATGTGCGATGGCCGAATCCAGGGGCCCACGCTCGTTGAGGCAGTCATATCCAGTTTTCTGGTCATACACCTCGTTTCCGGAGAACCAGAATATGACCCGGCCGCGCCCGAGACCGGCAGCCGCTGCTGCAGACTCCCAGACCTCGAGGTCGTGCTGGATGGTTTCCGCGGCCCTCTCCCAGGTGTTTCCCTCGCGCGCCCTGTTGAGGATCAGGTCGGCTCCGGCCTTGAGTCCTGCGTCACGGGCGATGGAGCAACCCAGAAGAAGGTGCATCTGATCTCCGGTGGTGGACTGCGATGGAGCGTGCGACGACTCCGCCACGCCAAGGTCAGGATCCCCGGGCGAAGCTGGTCGCGCTTTTTTTCACCGCAGTGGCAGATTCCGCCGCCTGGCTCCGAAGCCAGTCAGAGGCCTCCGCGTCGATTACATCCAGGAAGTCTCCCATGTTTTCTGGTGGGTAGAGGACGCACATGTTAACATGAAGAAGATGTACGAGTGCTCTGCAGCTACGACACGACACTCATGCAACATGCAAAACGAGTATTTACAGTGCAGCAAAACAAACATATGCACGCTCAGTGGTTCAATCAGTATTGGGAATATGAATATGCCCTCCTGATGTTAGTTGCAATCATCTTGTAAACATCGTGGGCGTCTAGGGAACCGACGAGGACGACACCGATCGAAGGGCTCAGGAGCTTGGTCGGCCATGACTGGGGCGTCGGGAGGGACGCCGATTCCCCTAGGAACGCCTCCCAGCATTCCCGGAGAAGGGTCACTCTCAGGATGAGATTGGATGACCGCCTTGAGAACAGGGAGGAATGATCCCCTCCTGATCGTCAACGACTGCCCCTGGACTCTCGGAGCCACCCAGCGTCGAACCACTGGTCCAGCTGAGTTGTGACTTGTGGTGGGCCTTTTGTCTTCCACAGCTTGTTGAAGTGCACAACCTTGCACCTAGAATGCTTCCTCCACTGAATGCCATAGGTGACAGCAGACCACCTCTGCACTATCCGATATGTACCGTGCCAACTGCCACGGAGACGTTAGTTTTGGACTCTGTCCCTTCTTTCTTTGGCTCCTGAAGAGCCAAATCTCATCGCCGTCTTCAAAACAGTTCCTGACTGCCCTCGACATTCTTAGGCTGCTTCATAGCGGCTACTGAGGCTCCTAAGTTGCCGTCTGCCTGCCTCCGTAAACATATGGATGCGCTTGAACTGTACCCGCTATAGGTAATTTGCAATCAAATTATTTTGTTACGAGCGAGCGAGCGCAGCGAGCGAAGTGAGTCTTTTCAATGTAACGGAAAAATCTCAGTATGAGCGGCCCGGCCCGGCCCGGCCCGGCCCGGCCTGTAACGCTTTTGAGAGGCTTATATCTCAGCAACCGCTGGACCGATTGGCCTGCGGTCTTTTTTGTTGAGTAGCCCCATCCCTTCTACCCCGTAATTGACTACTTTTGATACATCTCAGTGACCGTCGTGGCACGTGCCACGTGAAAAGTCAAGGGTGTTCAAGCTGTTTTGCAAAAGTAGTGATTTTGAGAGGCTCATATCTCAGCAGCCGCTTGGGCGATTGACTTGCGGTAATTTTTATAGGGTAGCAGCATCCCTTCTGCCCAAAATAGGATACTCTCGATGCATGTGGGTCACCCCCAGTGCACGTGCAAAATACAATAAGAGGTGCCAAATTTGTTCCCATTTCAGTAACTCGGTAATTACTGGGGGCGATTTCGCTGAAACTTGGCATACAGGTAGGCACCCACCAGGCAATGCATTCCCATGTGTTGCGGTTAGGGTGCTACTGCACGTGCGCACGTGCAGGGGGCGTTTCCAGATCTCGAGAACGGCTGGGCCGATTGCGCTCAAATTTGGTACACGGTTGGGGACCGGTTAGTAGGGTGCCGTGCAAAAGTCATTTTGGACCCCGTTTGCACGTGCGCACGTGCAGAATGCCGCTTCCAGATCTCAGGAACGGCTGGGCCGATTGCGTTCAAATTTGGCACACCGCTAGCGACCGGTTAGAAGGGTGCTTTGCACAAGCCCGTTGGAAGTACCCTCGCGCCCTTCCGCACGTGCAGGGCTCACTATCTCGCTCGCTCGTTCTTCGCCCAAAAGGCGTTTTACTGGTTTTATGATCTACGAATTTCCAATGCATTGTGGACCATGTGCTCGCAGTCGCGCTAAGCGGTACAGAACATGAATCGCGTAAATAAATTGATTTAAAACATACTTTCTGCTTGCTGTTCGTTTTAATACCGGATTTTAGCCTATGAGGAAAATGAGATGTCAATGATACTGTGATAAGTGAGACTTAAGATGTCATACGAAATACCCTTTGAATACCCCTACCATCCAGAGCCATTGGGACGCACACTACCGACGTCCTATGCTCTACTCTGCCAGCGTCGCCACTGGGCTTAGATGATTGCTAAGTCTAGTTTTTTTCATCAGACCATCGACCAACGACTAAAGGACAAATAAAGTCGGGTGAGTAAAACAGCACGGGAACATAACCTAACACTTCCCATCTCTTTCTTACTTCCTTCCCCAATGTGGATCGAAACCTGTGCCGATGATGTGTTACAGAGTGACCCATACACCATCGGCTGGACCAGCCTACGTACCAACAAGTGCTGCCAGATCGGGTGTTGCCATCCCCAGACACATGGCCACCGACAAACGACCCCAGTTCGGAAACCGGACGCTGGACAACCCTGATGACGTCTTCAAGCACAATGCGTGGTAAGCGGTGCGCGGGTTAGTGAAATGTTCATAGTTCAGATGGACCATCATCGTAAGGGACTTGAGATGACGTTCAACACTGCTCAGTTGTGCTCATAGGTGACAACAATGTCATGTCGGCAATTCCATTGCACTGTCTCGCTGATAAACATAGGATCTCCGTTCAGTCATCTGAGGCCTATTTTGTAATGCTAACTACACCGCAGTGTCCAGCCGTCACTACTGTCTATGCCTCCGTGCAGGGATAACGTGGAGTGGGGACCGGAACAGGAGAGCGAGGCCCGGCAGAAGGTTGAACAGAACGCCAGCGTGAAAGCGGACCGGGAGAAGGCGGAGCAGCTGGTCGGCGCGCCCAACACCTACTGGGACGCCTTCTACGACCAGCACGATAACAAGTGAGGCGCGGAGTCACTGGCGGCGTACTCACATACGGTCCAGGGATCTAGATGTCAGCTCACAAACAAATTGATCCAGTCACCCATCATTTACCGAAGCGAAGGCGAGGCAAGGAGTTTAGAGATAAATGGTCAGTCGTTCTGATTGTCTGGAAGCGTACACAATACCGAACGCTAATGGTATCTAATCTACTCCTGTTTCACAGATTCTTCAAAGACAGGAACTGGCTGTTCACGGAGTTTCCCGAACTAGGAGAGCCGAGCGATACATCACAGCCACTCCCAGAGGTAAGTCAAGCGTCGTGTTGAGGGACTTATCACAGCACCTGATGTAGGACTGCAGTATGTCTATGTAGTAAGGAACACTGCATAACGCTGCCATGGAGTGCGATTATACCAATCCGCAGTAACACATAAAAAGGAGCAACATATGCCCTAGATGATGCAGTCATAAGATGAACGCCTACGCTATAATTAACTGCATACCTATATTATTAAGTGACGACTGAAGAAGCGACGGACGTTGTTCCTCAGAGCTGCATGGTGACTGCCTCCTCTTCCCGCCCGCAGACCCCCAGCGAGCCGTACCCGGGCTGTCAGGCGCGCCGCCGAGTCTGGGAGGTGGGCTGCGGCGTCGGCAACACCGTCTTCCCGCTGCTAGAGACCAACAGCGACCCGCACCTGTTCGTCTACGGCAGCGACTTCTCAGAGTCGGCCGTCAAGATCGTCCGGCAGGCACCGCAGTACGACCCGCAGAGGTATGTACAGGGTGTCCCATAAGTTCGTTCTCACATTATGTTTGCATGTGAAACAGAGTACATTGCGTTTTAATATATTTATGACCCCTCAATATGCTCCTCATTTAATAGGCAAACACATGAATACATGCTGCAGCATGCCAACCGGCATGTTTGGCTGCATAGTAGGCTTAAAGTTAACCCAGACTGACTTGACATGCGCCGTGAGCTCCTCGAGGCTGGAACAGCGCTACGCTTCGACGAGCCTCAATTTCAGCATAACCAACAAATTTTTATGAAATTTTGATCCAATGAGGTGCCTGGCATGTGATCTTGCCACAAATGCCTGTCACAGTCTCCTTGCACCGCTTTTAAGCTTTGCTTGACCTGTGCACTGATGCACTGTCTTGCCTGAAGATGGGCCTACGACCTCCCGGATGCCATTTTCTCCTCTATAAATATGTCCATACTCGCGGTTCGAGTTCAGCTTGAGGGCTGAAACTCCTCCTAGATGTTATTGGAAAAGCATTCTGCTTCCCAAAACTGTTTCTGGGTTGCCACTTGCAACTTGGTCAACTCCAGAACGCCTATAATCCCACAACACAGTGACCCTGACCTTTTGCATAGGAACATAACGGGACGAAACGGAGGCCTCCTCCTTCGCCCTTATGGGGTTGTTTTCGGGTTTGGACGGGTGTTTCCTTTCGAACGTGGACTAGTTAGTCCTGATGACCTGGTTGATGTCATCAGCCCTCTGTTTTGTTTAGCCTCAGGCATAACGAAACTCATGTTTGGCCATTTTAAGACGTTTTTGACTGTTTTGAGCCCTCCGGTAAGCAAAGCTTAAGTCACCTTGAGTTATGTACCCCGAAAGAACACTCTTAGACAGCTGGTAATCCATCCTGAAAAGTCTGCTTACCAACTTTGTAACCCTTTGACCTTTTTGATGGCCACTTTGGCGCCACACAGTTTTGGCCACTTGGCTCACTCCTGAGGGCTGACTGGAAAGAGGATAAACTTGCAGTGACTGACTCCCGACAAATCATCGGTGTCACTTGCTGACTGTGCGTCCAGTTAGCGATGGACATTGGCTACAGACTGGTAGGCCTCAATCACCCTCAATCGTCGCGAATGGTCACGTGCTGACTAAATACTGAGACGTACCCGTATCGGAGACCTCTATGTTGCGGCGTTAGCCGTCTCTGTAGGAAGCGGACTCTATAGCAAAAACTATTTTGTCTACAGAAATTAGCTACTGTGGAGCATATTTCTACCAGCCATGGCAACCACGTAAGCTCAGTTACGAACCAATTTCAGCGTGCTTTTAAGCAAGAGAGGCTAAAAACGTAAAATTTAGGTGAGAACGAACTTATGGGACACCCTGTAGACGACACCAAGAGATCAGAGTACGGTTGTGGATGTCAGGCCACGACCCGCACAGGCAAATGGACGATCTGCTGAGGGAAATTGACGACACCGAACTCGGATACCTATCAGTGGTGCGGCTAGCGCAGTACATATAATGAAAAGAGATGGTGCGAGCTCTTCAACTATTCAGATCGTCTCTCGTTATGAGTGAGGACACCGCCTGGACCTCTGACGTCACAGAGTATTCTCTGAGACTCCGTTTTCCCGCTGTCAGGTGTCACGCGTTTGTGATGGACGTGTCGGACGAGCAGGCCGAAGTGCCGTTCCCAGAGTCCAGTCTGGATCTGATCGTGCTCATATTCGTCTTGTCGGCATTGCACCCCTCACGGTAAGTGATGCTGAATGGATGATCCTGGAGTGATGCAAGCAGTTTTCACTAAGGGAAGAGGAAGATAGTTCATAGAAGCGCTGGTAGTGGCTGTATCGACGAAGCCGAGATAAAGGGGCGGCGAATATTGTTTGCGATTATATGAATACACTTTGACTATTGTCTTGCTAAACGTCATGAGCTTTTACGATTTTGTTAGGTCAGAGACCGGCCTGACATGGAATGATTACAGTCGTGTCAAAAGTTCGCGATCACCCCACGCAGCCGGCCCTCTCTCTGCTGTCCGATATCCGCCTGCTGACCTCGGCCTTCTACTGCCCCTCTCTCCAGTCACGAGCCCACGGTGCGGCGACTAGCACGGTTCCTCCGGCCCGGAGGTATGATTCTGTTCCGCGACTACGGCCGCTATGACATGGCTCAGCTGCGCTTCAAGCCGGGACGATGCCTCGAGGACAACCTGTACTCCCGGGGTGACGGCACGCTCGTCTACTTCTTCACTCAAGGTGAGTCGGTGGAGTGGTGAGACGCTTACAGGATACCGCGACTGGTGCGAGTGTTTGATTGGGAAGTTTAGGTCACACAAGCCAGCTCTTATTCGGAATGAGAGCGTCATATCTGTATCATAGCTGCCAGCTCGTCTCAGGCATGTCTCGGAACGTTTTAGGAATTATGCACAGTTACTGTGCTTTATCACATCTGGGCTCTGCTTCCAATCCTTTCATCGTGCACCCGTGAACAAATCATGCTCAGTATCCCAAATGCATAGGTCCTCGTTTGACGCACCAGTGCCTTTTCCTCCGTTTTCCAGAGGAGTTGCGCCGCATATTCACGGGCGCCGGTCTGGAGGAGGTTCAAAACCTGGTCGATCGTCGACTTCAGGTGAACCGGGGCCGGCAGCTGAAGATGTACCGCGTTTGGAACCAGTGCAAGTACCGAAAGCCGCTGGAGTCGCCACTGGCGGAGGAGGGCAGATAACGCTGGAGGGGTGGAGGGGTCTTATGCCGAGGCGGGGCTGGGTCGGGGTGGGGTGGGGTAGGGTGTGTGCATTTGCAAAATACACATCCAAGTGGAATAATGGATGTTTTGGTGCATGGATGAGTTTACAAGGAGGAATGACCAAGCTGTCACGTAGAATACTGTGCTACCGTAGACTCTGGGAACCTCAGAAAGAATCGCCATGGGCCGAGAAATCACACCTGACAACGCCTCTCTGACAAATTACCTGTCACGACACACAGGCAACATGTTGCCGAACAGACGTACCACAGAAAACAGTCCCACTGACGGCTCAAACCGAGCGGGAAGTCACTGACACGCAAGGGCTGCGATATCAGTCTGTATAATGGCATAAGGTTAAAGACGCATCGGCGACAAAGGCCATTTGGGCGATATTCTGAAAGGCGGTACTAGCTATTTTCCTTTTCAGAACGTGCTTTACCGGAAATTGTTACACGGGTAGCGCGGAACGAATCGATGGCTATTTTGCAACTGTGGCTACTTGTCTGTTATGTATTAATTTTTAAACCAAATCAAAGCCAGAACTTCGGGGTACTCTACTTTTATTAGCACACTGAGACGAAATGGATGGTGTTTAAATCGACATCGTAAATTTATAACGTCAAGTTGACTGTTGGAATGAGATGTCTATTGACAGGTGACCGGATTGAGTTCAGGTTCGAAATATAGCGCAAGATGGGACCAGCGGTAAACTAGCATGAATGATGGTCACACTTACGTTGCACAATGCATTGCACAATCATACAAAAACAGTCGGGGGAGGTTTGGTCAATCGTTGTCATTTTTAGCACGTGCTATTTTTGTCACACGTGCTAAAAATGACAACGATTCTGCTATTTTTGACAACGATGAGGCCGATTTCACTCCTCAGCGAGGAAATCAAGATTTTGGAAAGATAAGCACTGATTTTGGAAAAGAAGTGCTGCCACCTGGTGCAAGACGAAGAAGCCAGCTATAATATGCCCGTTATTTGTATGGTAGTTTGTTTTGTGGCCTGAAGTTGGAACTTAAAATTGAAGCATCCGAAAATGATCGATATTGATCGAAAACATGATGTTGATGAAAAAAATAATATTTTAAGTTGAGAGAGGAGGCCATTTTATCCAGATGCAGTAGTTTACTTCTTGAAATTATTTTTGCTAATGACGGCTGCTAATTATCCCTCATTACATGGCAGTCGTCGTAAGCAAAAATAATTTCAAGAAGTAAACCACCGCATCTGGATAAAATGGCCTCCTCTCTCAACTTAATATATTATTTTTTTCATCAACATCATGATTTCGATCAATATCGATCATTTTCGGATGCTTCAATTTAAAGTTCCAACTTAAGGCCACAAAAAAGGGTATACTTCAACGTTGGACTACCATACAAACAACGGCCATATTAAAGCTGGTTTCTTCTTCTTGCACCAGGTGGCAGCACTTCTTTTCCAAAATCAGTGCTTGTATTTCCAAAATCGTGATTTCCTCGCTGAGGAGTGAAATCGGCTTCATCGTTGCTAAAAATAGCTGATAGCGTTGTCATTTTTAGCACATGGTTGCCAAAAATGGCATGTGCTGAAAATGACAACGATTGACCAAACCTCCCCCGACTGAAAATGTGAAAAATGATGTAAAATCCATCTCAAACGGCACCTGGTGTTCACAGCACAGCCTATCGTCAAACAACGACTAAGACCAGCATCCGACCCCACGGATGTTAACCTGCGCTAATCTCAATGTATCAACAGTCAACACATCACCCCCGCCGCCCAGGCTCCGCCCCGCCTCCGTGACCTGCACAGTGCACACTGCACAGGGGTCACGACACCGGAGCTCCGCCCCTTTGCTGACGTCACGACGCACCTCCGCCGCAGGCTATCAGATCGCCATAGTAGGCGGTGATGGTCTTGATTTTTCCGTTGAGCAGGTTTTGCTCGATTTCTACCTGACCGCCAGGCCCGGCCAGCTCCGTTAGCTGGCGGGAGGGAGGAAGGGGGGGGGGGGGCAGAAAGAGGGTCAGAGGTGCTGATGGTCACCGAGGCGGGCAGTTGTCTGTGTAACTAACGAAATGCTACAATAATTCAACTCGCAGTCTTGGCATCTATGTGGTGACGATTTCCACCGACCGGTCGTGTGCGAGAGCAAACACTATACCTACGCCTTTCAGCATTGACCTACCACCCGACCCAGCCAGGTCAAAACGTAGCAGAGCGTGGTTTCGATCCACGGACCTCTGGGTTATGGGCCCAGCACGCTTCCACTGCGCCACTCTGCTCCACGACTCCCGCCGCCCCTAATCCACATGACTTCCACCGACGCCCGAGGTCCGCCCCGAGCTATTACGTCATGGCAGCGGAGTGACGCAATCACGCGGTCGATAGCAGACCTGCGACGCACTACGCTCCGGCAGAGCAGTGAGCACGGAACTAATGAATGGATGAATCGATGAATGGATAAAAGAGGAACTCACACAGCCAGCTGAGCTAATGATAAGCCGACCAAAAGAGCGTCGGGGACAGGACAGAAGGCATTAATCCCGACTCCCGCAAAGGAGGCCCATTGAGTCATACTGAATCTGAGTCATACAGTCATACAGCCCAGCGCAACATTACAAGCCTCAGTCCTCGTTTTCCCTCTTCCCATGACTCTCCCACTGTCCCACCATAGAGGCTGAAACAGACTCTTTCCGCAGTCAGGAAATCGCATGCGAGAAGAGTATTCAAATCCATCATCTCACACTCGCATCAATCGCACGCACCTCCCGCATGCGATGATGCGGGAAGGATTATAATGTATTTGAATAGGCACTCGCATGCGATTTCCTGGCTGGGGAAAGAGTCGGTTTCAGCTTTAAGACCAATGGCCGGATCCGGCCTCTCACCTGATGTACGTTAGCGTTGCGCGGGGCCAGCACGGCGATGTTTTCTGAGATGGCGCGGGCGGCACGCATCATCTGCCGTCCGTCCACGGTGCCGTCCAGACGGAACATATCGTACACGGGCGCGTCACAGTACAGCGGACCTGGCGGGTAGGGAGGAGGTCACACAACGGAACATATCGTACACGGGCGCGGCGCGTCACAGTACAGCGGACCTGGCAGGTGGGGGAGGGGGGAGGTCACACTCGGAACATATCGTACACGGGCGCGTCACAGTACAGCGGACCTGTGGGGGGGGAGGTCACACACGGAACATATCGTACACGGGCGCGTCACAGTACAGCGGGCCTGGCGGGTAGGGGGGGGGTCACACTCGGAACATATCGTACACGGGCGCGTCACAGTACAGCCGCGGACCTGGCAGGTGTGTGTGGGGGGGGGGGGGGAGGTCACACACGGGTAATGTCGTAGGGCATGCCACAGAACAGCGGGCCTGGCGGACGATGAGACGTGAGGTTACACACACGGTAGTGAGGATAGCAATAGAGGGTTATACATGACACAAGTTTTGGTTTAGTACAAGCGCTGACTAGCAAGTAGGAAGTTCAGCCGCGTAGCAACACTAAAAAAAATAACGCGACTGATCGTCCGCTTCTGGCCTAAGCTCGGCAAAGTCAACCCCCTGAACGACGAGTTACCAACTTACCACTTCCCCTACATTTCCAACCCCTACTTCCCCGACCTCTCTCGCCCGCAGTTGTCCCTCTCTCGGGGTTCCTAGCCCCACCCCCCGGTATGTCACCTACCTCCCCAGGGCGGCGACAGGAACACCGCGTCGGCCCGGAGTCGCGGCGCCAGCTGGAAAAAGTCGCCCAGTACAAACTCGATTCTGTCCTGAACTCCATAGACGCCGGCGTTATGCCGGGCCAGCGCCAGCTGTTCTGGATCTATGTCCACGGCGATTACTGTCGAAAGAGACAACGCAACAGAGTCACAGGAGGTCAACAGAGAGAGACTGTACAGAGGTCAAAGGGGCATGCTGGGTCACGGAGGATCAGGGAGGTTACGTGGCCCAACTGAACAACAATGGATGAGTGAGACAGCCTGGCCCAGTTGGTAGAGCTTTGGAATCCCCGTGGTCCGGGTTCGAGTCGCTCCGGCGCTAGATATTGTGTGATTTGAGCCAGTTGATAGACAGGCCGTGTTCAGCTTTGATGGGCACGCTTAAATTTGACATATAGGAATTGCCCGATCGTAGGAGGGGTCGGGACCCACACAAGCTATGCTTAGGGAGCGGTGGCGCCACCGTCGTCCCGGTCGGTCGGGTGTGCGAATCCTGGCTGCCAGTAGCACTCGACAGTCACAGCCGCCCCTGCCTCAGGCGTCCACTAACCTCTCTCGCACGTGTTGGCGAACTGGATGGCGTTGCCGCCGGCGCCGCAGAACGCGTCGACGATGACGTCCGCGCGACACCGGTCGGCCAGGTGCCGAGCGATCTGTTCGGGGGTCACCGAGAACCAGCTGGCACCGCTCAGACGAATACCCTCGTCAAATCTGGCGGATGGAGGGAAGAGGGTCAGAAGAACACTCGCATCAACTTTGACGACAGGAGTGGGCCAAATTTGAACTACGAAATGACACCTGTTTCCAGTAGATAGGCCGGTGCGCGACTGCCTATGAGCCGTGAACTGACTTGACGAAACATCAATGCAAGTAATGGAAAGTATGTGCGAACTAAGCAGGGGTACACTAACCTCCGCCAATCACCAGCATCTGAATACTTATGCTTCTCTTATCTCAACCCAAACGCGGCGACTGCAGCACTCGATACAATAGAACATCAGCGATATTCACCTGGAGAAGAGCCGGTAGCGCTGATACCAGTACTTCTGCAGTTCGGTCGACGTTCTCATCTCTTCTGGCATCGGCTGGGCCGGGCGAGAGCGTTTGGAGCCCGCTCTCCTCCCGCCCCTACCCCGGCCTCTGTCCCGGGAGGGGGCCGATCGTCGACTATCACTGGCAGAGGCGGGGGCAGGGGTGGGGGTGGTTGTGTCTCCGGCTGTCTCCGGAGTCGGGGAGACAGCGGAGACCGCAGCAGGTGACTCTGAGACATCAGTGGATGGACCGGAGGTGTTCGAATCCGTGTTCGATGTCCCATTTGGAAGGCCGGACGGTTGGTCGGCAGTGGGTGACTCTGAGGTCGGTTCGGCAGCCGGCGCGGCGTCATCTTGAAACCTCTTCAACAGGTTCTGTGTCTGAAACGAGCATGTGGTATTGATATAAGCGACAATAAACAAGAAAGGAAGAAGTTAACACTCGACCAGAGAAAGAACGATGTTTTTCTTTTTTATAATACCGCTTATAGTGTAATGCGCTAACGTCTCACATACATTCAAATATGCGAGATGTGATTGCGAAACAGACACAAAAATTTACTTCAATGGAACCAACCCGCTTCAAGAGATCATCATGTTTGAAGGCCGTTTTGGTCATATTCAGCGAGCGGGTCTTCTGCTTCAGTCGCTTCTGTCGGTAGATGACGTGTGCGGCCTTTGGTCTTGTGTCGTCATCAGCGGGCGGAGCGTGACAGAATCCCAGCATGGTCAGGGCACCTTCGGCGTGTGACAGCGTTCCTGGTCCACTGCGAATGGCGGACGCAGGGGTTTATGCGTGAGGAACAGTAAATCAAAATATCATTCAAGTCAATCACATAGTTTACCAAAAACAATCTAGTAGGATACACGAAACACCACACGTCAACAATTAAGCACAAATATGGAAACAGGTAGCCGATAAAATGCTACAAAACCAAGCTGTATTGGTAACACAGTAAATACGATAAACATACGAGAGCGTCGGTTCCTCCTCCTCTTCCTCTTGGTCCTCTCTTGCTCTGCCGTCCTCCTTTTCTTTTTCCGGTCGCGCCGCGGCATCATCCCCCGGTTGGACCGTAGTGCCATTTACTTCTTTCCCAATGACGTCAGAATCTGCCGTGACGGTCGGATCCTGCTGCTGTTGGGGCTCAGGTTCAGATGCCAGCTGCTGCAGCAGGGCGCCCACACTGTTCAGCTTCATCTCCCTGAGAAATATAATGGAAGAAGAGGCTGGCGTCAGCAGGCGCGTGCGGCATGACGGATGTATAAACTGAAACAGAACCTTATATGCCCATGTCGCCGACACCTTCAAATAGTCGATCTCCACGATAAAATAGCCATAAAAATCACTGAACTGTATCAAATAGCGAAGCAAACATCTTTTATGTGTTAAAGGCGAACTTAATATAAAATGACTAAAAGAAAACCTGCAATATTTTGCAGTTGTCTTATCATGTCAAGTACTACGTTAATCACATGCATATTTCATTTTCATATCACATGCATATGTAATATTACTTGGCCTTTCTAGAAGACATGTTCTTTTTCTTCTTCAGCTCCTTTTCCTGCTGTCCGGTATTTTCCACTGCCGCATCGTTCGTCGTTCCATCCTGCGGCATCTTTTGCACACTCACTCCGTCCTTCACGTCATCCACTCCGTTCTTTGGGTCTGTGCCCGACCCAGCATCCGCCTCGTTCCCCGCCGTCTCTACCCCCGTCGTCTCCGTCTCTTTGCCCCAGCGATCGGTGAAAGACGCCATCATCTGGTTGTAAACCTCCTGATAGTGCTGTTGCCACAACTCATCCCAGTTAAACTGCTGTGGTCCACTCTTTACGGCGTCAGGACCAGACTCATTCTCGACGTCTGCCTGATCGCCCTCCTGACAGTCTTCAGCTGTAGACAGACTGGGACCAGAAGTGGGTTTGGTTCCGTCCTGTCCATCGCCCAAGCCTGACGTTGAATGCGGTTCATCAGAGGTCGAGGCTGGCACACCGACCTGATCCTCGGACACGGCACCCGAGGTTCGCTCGGTGCTGGACAGTCGATCCTCGATCACACCCGAGCTGACGTCCCGGCCTGTTGTGGGATCCGCTGTGTCAGTAGAACTGGCGGCAGCGGAGTCGGCAACGGCAGCGGAGTCGTGACCGGCAGTGTCCTGAGTGCCCTCCAGGTAGGCAGGGTCGATATAGTCGCGGTACTTTTCCGTCCACGTGCGGAGTACCTCGGCCTCGCCACAGGCGGCCCAGTGCTGCTCCCAGTCGCGCTGGAGATCGGCAGAGCCGGGCCGCGGCTCACACACCTGTGGTCACAGGATCGTGTAAGAATATTACAGAATGATGAGCAGACTCACAAATTGTCCGAACGACACTAGCTACCAGCTTTACCAGAAGGGGTCTACTGCTGCAAGAGTTGCCAAAATATGAAGCATTGCTAATCGAAATGCATGCAACATAAATTCGCGACACATCCGGTGACCGATAGTCCAGAATAGAGAAACCTATTTGCGCCACAACTCATCAACACGGCAGCAAACCCTTTTTCTTTCGCCCCCATCCCCGATCGTTTCCCCCATCACGCCTCGTTTTCCCAACCATCCCAGTGCCATACCTGCCACTCTAGACTAGGCTCGCCCCGACCACCGCCGTAGTCGCACCGCAGCCACTCCAGGCCGCCCGGCGATGGGACGCTCTCCTCCGTCTGATCCGTCACCTCCGAGGAGCCCGACACCGCCGAGCGGGGTGACGTCACACACGCGTCCATCTCCAGTGATGTCACAGATACATGGTGTGATGTCACAGCAGCAGGTGCTGGAGGCGGGGCCTCACTGGCAGTGGCCACCCATTCCTCCTAGTAGGAAGTGGAATAGAAAGGTGATACCCTATGGATTTGCAGCATTATATAAATCATTGGCTCAATTTATGTGGGAATGTAAGGTTTCAGGCCCATCACAAATAAATTGAATAACTACAAAATAGGTACATACTACATAACTTTATGCTGGGGATTAGTGTTTAATCAGTTAGGTCAACATATAAAAAAAGAGTAAAATTTAAAGTTTCAATAGAATATCTCTAATAGCCATTAGAGCTCCTGATAATATCAATAGTGTAAACATACATCATAGACAGATTAAGCACAATTAAAGGTCATAAAATGTTACTTGTCTCTCACACAACCAAATGAGTTCCAGTCAGCCACCCACCTCATCAATATCAATTGCTTGGCGGTTGGTGAATGAAAGGGGCAGGCCCATGGCCCTCATTGCCTCAATATCCTGGACAAATTCTTCACTATACTCCTGTAGGGGTGCCTGGTAAAGCTCCATCGGCCTGCCTTTGATGCCTGTAGCACTTCCAGTATGATCATCAGCATCAGCAGCATCATCCTTCCCAGGTGAGCAGTCATTTGGATCACAGGGCACCATGCTGTCTGCCTCCTCACCCATCCTCAGGTATCGCCAGTCACTGCTCAGAAAAGAAGAGGAAATAGTGAGTAATTTAATGTGATTTATTTCCACGTCTATAACTAAAAGCCAATATATTACAATGTAAAATAACAAGGATTTTATCACATCAGTAGGCGGAACTATGGTCAAGCGTACCCATTTTCGGGAACGCATTTTCGTTCCCATGTTTGGGAACGATAAACCCAAATATGGGAACGCCATGTAGGCATTATTTAAAACAAGAAAAAGAACCGTTAAATGACGTCCAAAAAATATAAAACGATCGTGAACCACCTGATATTTGTCTCAATATTGTTGGGAAAGAGTTTGATATTGTAAGGCCCATCGTAGTTTCAAATCGTTCCCCTATTTCTAACGCAGTCCATCATCCGGGCCGCGAGCCCAAATTTGGGAACGCTCTCGTACACTGGCGCTGCAAGCGTTCCTTATTATGGGAACGGCGTACCCAAAATTGGGAACGATTTCACCGACGCCTTTCAGGGGCTCTTTTCATTAACAAGCATCACGTCCAACGCCGCAAATTATTGTTAACGCAACACTCATCAGATGACCTTTCCGGCAAGACCGTCGCATGTTTCGCCCGGTCTTCTGCGCTTTTATTCCCGTCGATCTCGCAGCGGGCACGCCCCCCTCTGCAGGATTACGTAATTCACAACGCTCAGCGATGTTCAACAAGGTCTTCCATACCTATATCCACCGTCCGCGCCGAGGGTGGAGACATGTCAAGCACTTGTCTGTTTATCACCGATAGTTGACGAGCACAAGGAAGTATCCAAAAATGGGAACGCTGAATATGTTATACCCTCAAAACACCTAGTCCCAATGAAAATCTAGTTTTTTCCTTTATTGATGAGTGTAAGTGGCAAAAGGCCTGGTAGGATGGGCACGAGGAATGATCGAAATCAGCATAAAAATTATAAATAAGCCACACAGAGCGACCTATATAAGAGAAATTCCCCCAAAACGATCACGCTTAGAAACACGGAAGACAAAAACCACGCTCATGACGCTCCTTATAAAACAACTCTAAACAGCTAGCATCCAAATAAAATATGTCTATCTGGGATGATATAATACAGCTGAATAATTCTAAACCACTGAAACTGAGTTTACAACAGTAGTTCGGTAAAATCACTGACGTTCCATGCGGTCGTGCGTCCCGACACCAAATGTCACCAATATTACCCCCGGACTGTCCGCGTGTTCGCTTGCATATGTCAGCATCTAGTTTCGCTAGTATGAAACTTCATAACCAGGCGAAAATTATTATACTTGACCTCAAAATGTAAAAAACGCTTCATTTTCCTTAAAATTGCAAGTTAAATGTAGTATAACCCATGTTTTTCACTATTCCGTCATTTCAAAAAATCATTAAAAATATCATTCGACGGTCAATTTCCTTGTGCAACGGTCAGATTAAAGATAATTTTATAGAGACTTAGTAGATACTTAAATTAGCGTGCACTTTTTTGAGACGTGATGCACTAATGAGTTTTAGTGGGCGAACGGCCGAAAAATTACCTTCCGTTCCCATAAATGGGAACGCCCGACGCCCGTTCCCATATTTGGGAACTTCGTTCCTAAAAATGGGAACGTTCCTATATTTGGGTACTCATGACCATAGTTCCGCCTACTGACATGTGCATGATACAAATGCAAAAATGATAAATAGGCCTAACTTGACAGAAGTTTTTGCATTTATTTGATCATATTTAGACATAACCATGATCTTTTCTATTGTAGGCCTGTTAAAGGCTAAATAAGTGATTGCATAGTTGCCCCATGGGTGAAACCTGTCAAAAAGTTCTGAGCTTCTATTCTAGACCTTTCTGACCTATGTCCTACCTTAAAAACTGGCGAGATAGAAAACAGATATTCTTTGTCTCAGACTTCTTCTCTCCCACATAAAATATTCCCGCCAGTTCTTCCCAGTGTCCTGGCATGTCTGACAATTAGACATTCAAATGAGCTGAGAAAAAATAACAGATGAGGGTCAAGAAGAGCACAAAGGACGGTTAGGTGCTCAAACAAACACCGAATACATTTACAAGTAGGCACCAGCAAGGCTATATAAACCGGCACCAGTGCAATGCATGCGTGACACGCCTCGTAGGCAATTATGTGCAATTGCAGAAATTGAAGCTTATGAATCTTTATCAATATGGATTCTGACTTCTGAGCCTCTTTTTGCACATCATATCATTGTAATGAGAACAGACAAGCCTTATCCTCATCAACACACACACACATACACGTGATATAAAGAGGGCCTTGCACACGTGTTTGTTTCGGGACAAACATTCAGCATAAAACGTTCGCTTCAATTGCATAAAATATGGTAGCAATGTATGAAGACATTAACTGCGCAGTAGTTTCGATAAGGGAAGGCTAACGTTTCAGAAATTATATAAATGACATCATGAGTTACACCACAAAGAAAGAAATATTCGGAACAATATGAAAGACTTGATAACTTTTAGTGCTTTTAGCACAATCTTCTCATAATTTTTATTAATTTAATGGCTTTTGTTGCCTTTTTTGACATACTTTTGTGAGAATTTCGATCTTATCTATCAAAAGGGATACCTTTTCGATGACGTCATTTGTCAAGAAGAAACGCAATTTATAATGGTGACTGAAGTAACTTCCAAGGAAGTCTACGGGGATTTCCCCCCCCCATATTGTTCGAAGCCGTGTCGTCAGTGTGGCTTTCACTTTGGACGCTTTGGAGCTTTCGAGCCAGGGCCCTGTTTCACCGGTGATAGCAGCAAGCTGCTATCACGTTTCGCGAGCTGACGTCATGTCGTGACGCCATACTGTTGACGTAATGGGTAGTTCCGGCGCACGATTGCCGCGACCTTGGCGGCGGCATTAAGTGACGTATGAGCCTAAAAGTAAAAGTTTACGCAGTCACGATAGTATATATATATTTTTGATATATATTTTTTCAATATAATGTATTTAAAAGAAGTTGGGTTTAGGAAAAATTTGGACATTAACTTCGAACATTTAGCTGATGACGTAAAACAATATTGCGGCAATCGTGCGCCAGAATTGCCCCTTACGTCAGCAGTATGACGTCATCACATTACGTCAGCTCGCGCAATTTGATAGCAGCGTGCTGCTATCACCGGTGAAACAGGGCCCTGGGCCCTGTTTCACCGGGTGAGTATTGAAGCATCCAAGAGCGCAGCATCCAAGGGACGCAACATCCAAAACCTTAGCATCCAGCGATCAAAACGTCCAAATAACATCCAAAACCGACCCCTTAGGGATGATTCAGAGCATCCAAGAGCGAAACATCCAAAACTGCAACATCCAGGACCACAGCATCCAAAATCGTATCATCCAAATTGGCAGCAACCAAGGACGAGGAATTGCTGCATCCAAGAGTGAAACACCCAAGGGTGCAGCATCCAAAACCGTATCATCCAAAAAACATTTTTGGCACCGCAGCATCCAAGACCGTATCATCCAAAATAGTGACATCTGTTGTACAAGCTGTAAACTATTAGTTCAATGGCTGTCCGATAGGTGGTGGCACGTACGGTTCATAAGTGACGGAATTGTATGACATCACTGAGTCTCTATACAGTGGCATCCCTATAATGACCTTACATCCTCAAGACGGAGGTGCGTAGCTGCTGGTAGCGACATCGCTGCGATACCACTACAAACCTGACAGATGACATGAAGACGCATTGCAGCGTATCCAAGCGCGGCACGTATGTAGGTAGGCTGAGCCGCTGAAGTGTCGATAATGGAGACCGATACCGAAAGTGGGTTTATTAATTGCCCTTTGTTTTCCCAGGTGAAAAAATCTTACAAGATCTTACAAGAATCTTCTCGATCTTGCAAGATCTTATATGATTCTGAGGACAGTCTTGCAAGACCTAGGGAATCTTGTACAAGACTGCCCCAATCTTGCAAGAGTCTTGTAAGAATGCGGTGGTTTCCTTGCAAGAATCTTTCTTGCAAGATTCTGGCAAGTCTGTTGGTTACTTGTAAGATTTTTTTTTAACAGCTCGCTGATCGGTCATGACCATTGATAAGCCTCATACATAAGCATGAGGAGTACCTTGGGAGAAATGCCTCGCCCCGGTGCGTTGATAAGTTGGACTGGACATTTCTTCTCAATCTGCAACCTACCGGGACTTATTCACCTCTGTCCTCAGGACGTCACATCTCATTATTAGAACTGGCGGGACATCAACATTCGAATGTTGTTGTCAACATTGTCCCGATATATAGGGAATTACGAATTGTGAATTGATCCCTATAAAAGAATCGATTTACTTCATAACTCCCAAATCCCTTCATAACATTCTCAGCTTACTTTGACGCATTACTGTACTGTATTATTCGGGGACAAGCGTGCATTTGTGCGCAGTGGTGATCTTTTAGACTGTACCGACTGGAATTTAGCGACCACTGACCGTTTTAGAGACCGTACGGTCGGCGGCGGGCGTCCCCTCCCAGTCCCGATCCTCGCCTGAGGCGAAGGCCGGAGACGCCGCAGAGGGGAGCGCGCGTCGCGCGCACCCCCCTCCGCCGCATTCCATCCGTCCCATTCACTGCCCGCTCGCGATGTGCGGACGGCTGACGGGGGTGTCGAGTGTGTGCCGTGCGGTGTTGGTGTCGTCTGCCGTCTCCTCTTCCGACCTGAAGGTAAGGTTCTGCCATGCTGTATTGCTGTGTAACAATATTCTCAATATTTGCAGCATTACAGAAAAAAGTCTCGAAACGTTCACTCAAAAATAGCTGATCGCCTGTCATTCTTTTGCATGCGACAAAGGGAATAGTGCTGACGGTAACGTCATACGGTGAAACTGGCCCCAGGGATGGTAGATACGTAAGGATTATTTATTCTTATTTATTTAAATTACTTATTTAATTACTTATTTAATTGAAAATGAGCCCCATCAATTCTAGTTTTTGACTGATAGGTACTGGCTCACCTTTTCACATCTGGCTTTGGATATTACCTGATTATATAAATGACATTTCATTTCAGCATTCGAGAATCTCGGCTCACCAATAATATGCGATGCAAGGCTCGACGGACGACATCCTCGCTCAAGATGTGTACGAGTATAGCTGGATGCAGACGGAAAGGCGGCCTCGACAATGGTGACATGACGTGACATCAACGGTGTGATGGTGTGATGTGACTGTGACGTGTGGATGACTCGAAAAGTAAAGGGCTGTTGATATGTGTTCTCAGCTATACATTTTTTATGAATACATATTGATTTTGACGTTTACACTGGCATATTATCCATTTCACTTTGCGGATTTCGTACACATGGGTCTTGACATATATACAATCGAAACAATATCTTAGGGCAACGATGTGTCTGGAAGTCTTGCACAAGGCTTGCAAGTCTTCGATAAGACTTCCAAGTCTTGCTGAAGATTTGTCAGAGTCTTAGCAAGCCTTGTAGAAGGTTTGCCAGAGTCTGGTACAAAACTTGTTGAAGTCTTGTACAATATACTCTTGCAACAGTCTGGTAAGACTCTAGCAAAAGCTTTGTACAAGACATGCAAGAGTCTTGTACAAGACTCTTGCAAGATTCTTATACAGTACACGTAAGAGTCTTACAAGACTCTTGCAAGAGCCTTGTGCAAGACATGCAAGAATCTTGTACCAGACCAGCAAGATTCTTTATAAGAATCTTGTATAAGATGTGCAAGATTCTTCTAAAAGATTTGCAAGAATCTTGCACCAGACTTGCAAGATTCTTGCACAAGATTTATAAGAATCTTGTATAAGATGTGCAAGATTCTTGTAAAAGATTTACAAGAATCTTGCACCAGACTTGCAAGATTCTTGCACAAGATTTATAAGAATCTTGTATAAGATGTGCAAGATTCTTGTAAAAGATTTACAAGAATCTTGTACCAGACTTGCAAGATTCTTGCACAAGATTTATAAGAATCTTGTATAAGATGTGCAAGATTCTTGTAAAAGATTTACAAGAATCTTGTACAAGACATGCAAGATTCATACACAATGTCTTACAAGAAAGTGGGCCAATTTCTTGCAAGATTGTCTTGCATAATAATGCCTGACAATCTTGTAAGATTTTTTCACCTGGGTTCACACCAGAAGTGCATAATAAGTCGTGAAGTGTCCACTATCCCCGTAACCAAGCCTCCTCAAGGATCTTCATCTCACCGTCAGATCGCGCTTATCATCGTCAGCTCCTCCCGTTCCTTCACAGTTAACCTTTTTCCTGTCCTATGTGATATATTCCATGTTCCAGAGGGCAAAAACTATAAAATAGCCGTTTATACCAGGAGTGCGGAGCCGGAGCCGGAGCAGCCAGAGCCGGCATATTTTGCCCAGAGCCGGAGCCGGAGCCGTAAAACAATACAGCCCGGAGCCGGAACCGGAGCCGGAGCCGTCAAAAAAGGGGGTGACTCCGGCTCTTTTTTTAAGAAGAAAAAATTATTGACCTAGTTCGGCTTGACAGTACAAGGCCATGTGGTATTTAGGTACTATATTCAAATTAGCCTTGTTATGCAAATACAGAGGCAACGTGTACCAATCCAATTTCAATCGCCCTTTCTCTTCCACCCGTAGGTATTTAATTAATCGCATAGGGGATGTACCTACTGAGAAGGAGCCGGAGCCGCCGGAGCCGGACCATTTTACTCGGAGCCGGAGCCGGAGCCGGACCGTCTGAAATTTCCACGGCTCCGCATCCCTGGTTTATACGAAAAAAGTTTTAGGTAACAGATTTTGACTGAAGGGAGCCACGACATTACTTTTACCAGCAACGTGTTCCCCTCGTCGAGTCGCGTCGAATGAAATTCGGACTTCTAAGGTCATTTGGAAAATTTGACCTCGGGTCAGGGCATGGCCTGACCGGAAAGGGTCATGCTGCATATCAGTTGATCCGTATCGCCGAGTTGAACACATCTGACATGTTTTTACCGCTCTAGCACGTCTGTCGTCTCTTATATGTATCAATTAAAAAGAAATAGTTTAAAAAACTGCTGGTGACCCTTCATGATCTGAGATAACCTCAGGGTCACACAAAGGGGTAACGGGTGCAATATTCGGGTGTGTCATGTTTTCCAATAAACCGATGTTTGAGAGTGTTTATAGATAGCATGGGCGTCGAAAGCAGGGGAAACGGGGGACGCCCCCCCCCCCCCGGCAGTCGATGAATCCGGGGGGGACGTCCCCTCAAAAAATCGGCCATAAAGGATTTCAAAAGTGACTATTTGCAACGGTCATTCAATATGGAGTCATGTAAACAGAAATAAACCATTTTTAAAAGAATACCTACTGATG